AAATATTTTGTTTTCTGCTTTTTAATATTAATCTAATTTATTTACATCTAAACTTTTATTCTATGATTAAAGTGTGCCATATATAAATAAAAAATAATAATAATAATAAAATAATTGCATTAAAATTTTTACTGCAATTTCAATATATTTCCGGCAAATCTTCATAGCTTAAGAATTTCCTTAATATTATTTGGTTCAAGCTTTACTACATATTTCTTGCAATCATGGCAGACTCAGCGATTCTCAATGGCAGCCCTCTTTATGTAGCTTAGTATACGAGTTGTCATCCCTTGCAAAGTGGAAATAATAATTTTCATCTCGATGGTTTATTTAGTATGTGCGGCATATGTGTGAAGTATGCTAGAAATGTCTACAGCTGATTTTGACAGGCACTTTATCGCTAGCCAAATGTCTTGAAGACTCTTTAGCGCTGCTGCTCGGATGCCTGGGTGCCCCTCATTGTGGTAGCAGCCGAAGCAGCAGCAGCAGCAACCCTTTCGTTGACTTTATTCAACTGCAACACGTAGTAGAGTGCAACGCTTTGGTCTTTGGACATTTCGCATAGCTCACGCCTATGAAAAAACGTGCAAGATTTCAAGAAATTTCTTTCTTTGCAATACCCAAACCACAGAATGTGAACCCTTTCGGAGCCATTGACACTGGGGAGCTATACGCGCTTTTGTGCGAAAATATGCAATTGAAATGTTAAATAAATAAAGGCGTAAATACTTGAAGGGCAAAGCAGCGACAGGGCACAACAAATGCTGTTGTGTTGGACGTTATGGATATACAAATATATGTATGTGTGTATGTATGTGTGTATGTATACATAGTAAAAAGAAAAATACCAAAAATAATAGCAAAGTTTGGGTTGTCGAAATTTGAATACACTGAAAGCGAGTTGTGTATAAACTAAACTAATAATTCCTTCATTAATGAAATTTGTATACTACAAAAAAAACTATATATATAGCTTATAATTTGATACTAAAGTATTTTGACTGGAACTTTGCATTAATGATATAATTATATTCATATAAATTAGTTTTGATTAAAAAATTAATTCATTATAATATTAATCTATAGGAAAATAGAATAAAAACCGAATTTAAAATTTATTAATATTCTTTTACAATATCCATTCTTATAATACTAGGAATATTCTCCTGTTCATATATGCAACTAGATGTTACTTATGATGTAAGTTATAATATAATATATTTATCTTTTATCTCTTAATAATCAGATAGTGATATTTAATTAATTTCATTATACATCATCTCAAACAAGCATATGTAACAATTTCGATGCAGTTTTGCCCTCAGTTCACAAGGACAACTATTCACAATAGAGCAGCACAATTTTAGTTTTCTAATTAAAAATCAACTTTATTTCGCTGCCCGCTCTAGCCCTCTGGTTAAGCGTTACACATTTCTCGACAAATTTATAGTACTCCATGTGAAGGGGAGCTACAGAAAAAGAAGGGCGTACCGTTATGCATTCCATAACTTGGGAGTAGTCGTCGCCGCCGCCGTCAGACGTTGACGTTGAAATGAATGAATGAAAATATGCAGGCAACGTGATTCGCAGCGACGCGACGCCATATTGCTGTGGATGGGATTGGGGAGGGGAGGTGAACGTAACCGTTAGCAATCGCACTGCCGTTAACGTTCACGTTACCGTTACCTCTTTTCCGCTTTTCCACCAGCATTGGATAGAGAGAGAGAGAGAGAGAGAGAAAGAGAGAGTGGGAAAGGGGGCACCATATTCGCATTTGCTGGTTTGGTATTTTCTGTCGAGTTCAGCGTAAATTCATTCATTTCCACTTGAATTTACAATTATGCGAAACTGTTGTTGAATGGGTTTTGACTTGCTCGGAGGTTTTACGGATTTGGTTTGAGGAGATTTCGGGAGGGGGATTTTCGTAGCTGTTGGTAACGCTTATGCATTTGCATTCCCCAGCAGCAACAGCAGCAGTCAGAACTTCACTGTTTAGCTTTTAATTAACTATGGAGTGAGCTCTGAGGAACTGCATCTAGCTCTTTCTCTCTCTCTCCGAGTTGGAAGGTCCCCAATTGGCAATTGTCAACAGCAGCTGCTAAAAGTTAGCTACCCAAGCGTTGCCAAGGTGCGTAACTGGGTATGAATTTTCTGCATGATGCGATTTATTTACTGAACGCTTATGGAATGTAATTAACTTTATGAGGTGTACATGCAAAAGCTGTCAAGGGCGATTAAATGTTTGTGCATTTATGCTGCTAAGCATTGGCTGGAAGGAACTCAGTTTCAGCATGAATTACATTTGAATTTGTTTAGCAGCTGGAATTGAGACTTGTTTCAGCACTTAGTCAATCAATGGCCATAAACTTTGAGTGAAGCACTCTATCAGTTGATGAGGTTTTGGTCCTTGGAAACCATGGCAAGTGAATGTGTGTGCTGTATTATTATCACAAGTCTATTCATTATGATGCATATAATTACTTATATATTTGTTCTAGTTAATTGCTCTTTATGAATTCCAATTGAAATAAGTGGACAGACTTATAGAAAACTAATGTCTTGTACATATTATAATATCGAGTTGAAATGTTCTCTTAATATTCTTAAATATTTATTTTGCTTTAATTATAGTTAAAATATTGCATACATTATTCGTTATTTAAATTTATATAAATAAGATATGCTATTTTATAAATTTTCTGTCAATCTTGAAGATTTGATCTTAAATTCATTTAAAAATCTCTAGAAATCTTTGCTTATATTGTAATATTCTTTCGTAGAAACCCTGTCGCCTACTACTACTAATCAACCATATGTTCTTATGCCATTTTCATTTTTTATAATAAAAACTTTTCGAGCGCAAAATAAAAATAAAAAAAACTTTTCAAATACCACTTCACGTGGGTGGTAAAACTTCGTTTCTTCCCTTTTTATATGGTTGCCCAACTGCAGGGGCACTTCAGCTAGTTGCCAATGCAATTCAATGTCATATCCTTGAAAACTTAAAAACAGCAGAGCATGGAGTATGGCTAAGAAAAAAGGCCAACAAATAGAAAAGAAGAAGAACGGGAAAAAATATCAACGGCAAACGGAAAGTTTTGTTATTGAAAGTTCATCGATGAATGCGAAATACAGTTGGGCAAAAGCTCGGTGCCAAATCCAGTTTCCCGGAATACTCAGCCGAACGAGTTGCGCGCTGCGAGTTGCAGTTGTGAGCCTCCTGTTTCCTTGCGGCTGCTTACAGTCCATTTCCTTGTAGCCCGTTTCACAATTTTCAATTTCTTTTGTATATATGCGATGCCACATTGTAAGCAGTTGCCACTGCCACCGCCACCGCCCCCGGCTCTGGTGCTCTGAGCCTCTGTGTCGTCGACTAATTTCCTCGGCCAAGTCCAGACGTCGTCAGCGGCATATCCTGCCAGCCAGCCAGCCAGCCAGCCAGCCAGCCAGGCAGGCAGTCCAGAGCTGGGCTGTCTGCTTAGCCCAACATTTGTATGTGGGCAATGCGTTTGGGGAGGCGGCAGTCGTTCCGTTGTTTGCATTTTTATTTGTATTTCATTTTCAATTGACTGACAGAGTCCGTTGCCCGCCTACCTGGCGGCTACCTGGGCGCAAAGTTCAGGTATGCGCTTTGTGTGCTCCAGTCCATTCATCAGAGTTATTTACTTTTTAACGAGTTGATTTCATTCAATTTGTTTGCCCAGGTTTCAGTGGCTATTACTGACAAACAGAGCTCTCTTAGTAGCTAGCAGAGAAAAGGGTTGCCACCACATTGCAATACTTCTGAATATATATTTTTTAGCCTCACTTTAAGCTGCATCTTGTTCTATTAAAGCTGTCTCTCTCTCAATATATGTACGTCTAGATATATATTAAAGTGTGTGTGTGTGTGAACAGATGAGTCGCAAAGTCGGCAATTTCTTTCATTTTCCGATTTTTGTTTTTCTTTTGGCCTTTTGATACTCTGTACTGGAATGTATGGCAGGGTATAAAAGTTTTATTAATATATATAAAAATTAAAGGAGAAAATACTTTTGTTATGTTTGTTAACTAATCATGAGTTAGTTTAATATTTAAATTGAGTAGAATTCTTATGATTTAGCTTTATTTCTATTTTATTTATTTTTTATTTTATTTAGTATTTTTTTTTATACTTATTTTATTTATTTTTAATTTTTTTTTAATGTTTTCCTAATCTATATATCTGACTCGTCTTAGAGTATTCATGTTCTAGACCTCCTCATAGCCTAACTTTCAGCCAAGCACACTTAACTTCACAACTTCAGGCTTCCTGTTTGTTTTTTGCTACATCCTCGTCTTTTGGAAGTCAAGTTCTTGTGCCTCTTGGCGTTTTTTCGGTTTCAATAAATATTTTCGCAATGCACAAATTAAAAATTCTTCGCAATAATAATAGAACATGACGATAGAACGGCGCACACTCAACCCGCAAGCTCTCAGAGCAGTGCGTTGTCTATTTAACAACAAAACTTTCTATGCCCTTAGCCTTCCGATAACAGTAGCAACAACAACAACAACAACAGAGCCATCGAACTGTCCCGACCCTAACAATTCGATTGAAATTGTTGCCAGTGGCTATGATTTTATGAGTATTGCGTTTGTCTTGTACCAAGAGTTCAAAATATATAATTAAATTGTTAGCATTTTGCAGATGCTTTTAAAATATGATCAAAAATTAACCAAGAAACTTGTTTAAGTGGCAAGTGGCGCCATCTGTTGGTCTACAGCAGCGGGAGAAACAGAGAGAGGAAAAAAGTAAAAAATACAGCAAAATATTGAAGATATTTGCAGCGTAAATGAACTAAATTTCTGGGCTATTAGAGAATATAAGGAAAAGAAAAACTTGTAAGTTTTTCATGGTGGCGTCATCTGTTGACCAGTTGCTGGAACTCAATTATGCAAGCAAAACCACAGCGATTCTGAAAGTATTCGAAGATTTTCCTCTGCCAAAACGCCATATTAAAATTGAAACTAATAAAAGAATGCTTAAGAAATTTATTTGCTCGGCTCAAGTAGATATTCTGTGTGTATATTAGATTTTGTGAATGTCCAAACTATTGTATTACATTATATGTATGTTTGTATATGCCCTGGCTTCCCCTTGTATAGGCTCATTTATGCCTTCATCAGATCGTTGACATGCTTCTCTAGGCAGACCATAATTTGGAAGGCCGTGTCACAGGGATTGGCACCGGTGGTACTGCCGCAGGCCTCCAAAGCCTTTTCCGCCTGCTCCTTCATGGGATCGTCCTTGAAGAAGTCCATTACCTTGTCCTCTTGTATCACACCTTTGCTATTCATGAAGCCCAGCTTGGCCATGACGCACTGCGAGGCACACTTCACATTGTCCTTGACATCCTCCAGCTTCACATCACCGGATTTCAGACCATTCAGCTCTTCCCCCGTAACGCCATTCTCCGTCATGCAGCTGACAACCTGCTGGGCCACTTCGGCCTTCTGGGCCTAAATACAATCATTTGAAGCTTAGCTTATAGCTATTACGGACTCGATTCGAGCTTACCATCACATAGCTAATCAGGCAGCTGAAAAGCAAAATGCATGCAAATTTGGACTTCATTCTGCTGTTGTCTGTATCACACTAATTTGCCCTCAGCTCGAGCTGCAGTTTTATAGTCAATCAACGAATTTTTTAACTGCATTTTTCATGCTTTATTTTTTAAGTGATGATGTGGATCTAGGGCTGGTTACGCTCGCTGCACATATGAGTGCAGTGGTGCAATTGTCACTGCCATGGCCAGAGTGTGTCGTAATGCTCGAGTGTAATTAGCGTTGGAATCATTTGATAAGCGTGTCAGATAAGAGACAAAGTTGGCTTAGTCTAATTGACTAAATACAATTTGTAAAGCTATTACAGAACATGATTTGATCCTATATTACTACAGTATATCACAGTATTTTGTAGTTTGTAGAACTCTCAGCGAACAGGGGATTTTGATTACTGTAAGAACTTAAGCTAGGATGAGATGTTCGTTAATATAATCTAAGTATTTTATTGTAAATTTGATTATTATATATTGTATTTGATTTTTCGTCAATGATATACCCATAAACTAAATGTTAATCTTAACCTACACAAATTTTTTTTAAATTTAACAATTTACAATAAATTGTAACATTACAAAAGAATTGCATTAAATATTTATTTATTTATTTATTTACTGTTACAAAGAATTAAATCTAAATAAGAGTTTTTAAGCCAGAGCAATAAAGGCCTTCAGGCTGCATTAAATATATTGAAACATATAAATTAGAATTTTTAATATATTTAAAATTTTTTTTATAGTTTTAAATTACAAAAACAATAAATTTTCTATATTGCATATATTTGTTTACATGGTTTATATTCATAATTGAAAAGTATATATTTTTGTATATGCATATTTATTTTAATTTGTTTTTATATACATATATGTATTTATTATTATATATTTAACATTTTTTTCATCAACTTATAATTCATTGCGATTATTAAATTAAAATTTTTCGAATCGATAAATTTTATTTGTGGTGTGGCTTGCATATATTTGAATTTAGTTTTTCTTTTACGTAGTACTTTATTTTTTAATTATTGTACAAAATAGTTTAATTATAAGATTAAAATCTACAAATAGTAGATTTTGTGCCGAAATACATTTGTTACCGTCAAATGCCCCGGGGCTGTCCATTGAACCGCAATAAAATGCACGCTTTTCAGTTTTGTGTTTTCCACTAAATATCTAGATTACAGTTGGTTTATGTATTTTGTTTTTGTTTTTTGCAAGCATTTTGTAAACATGCAAAAAGCGTTTGGGCATATTAATTAAAAACGTTTGATTGTTATTGTTCATACATTGCAATTATCTATTTTTTCCCACCATTTTATCTTTTCTGCTGGCGACGCTTCATTATTTTTGCAATAATGTAACGTTAATTGCATTTTGACGATTTTGTGTTAATTGCCTTCGCATTTGCTGTTGTCGTGTTTATTATAATTTAGTTAGTTATTTGCATTATTATTATTAATAATTTGCCGGTATTGAAAGATTTTTCGCATTGCGCTTAACACGAGTTTCAGGCACTAATTGAAATCCTTTTAGAGTAATTAGGCAAAACTGTATTGCAATGCCGCAAGAGATGAGAACTTGCTGCCTTCGCACGAGCTCGCTTTGTGGTCCAGTTAGGAAAACAAACTAATTTAGTAAATTACTATTTAGTGGGCACCTTTTATATATTTGGCCGAGAAATACGATGTTGGCCACCTGGCCGCAGTTTTGGCCACATACAAAGGTCATTTTCGGGCTTTGAAGTTGGGCTTTGAAATGCGCCAAAGGACATTTCACGAATGGCATGCTTTGTGCTTGTGTGGGTGTCTCTGTGTGTGTGTGTGTGTGTGTGTGTGTGTGTGTGTGTGTAGGATGTGAAGGGTGTGAGTTAGTGGTGTATACAACACCCACACACACACACATACAGACATACATCCATACACATTGCAATTGCTGTCGGAACATCAAAGCAATGCGAGTTTTCCAGTTGACTTCATCAGTAGATTGTGTGAAGTATGCCAAAAATGTGTTGTAAACTGTCCAGCGGAAACCTACTTTTTTGTATACCCTGTAAAGCATGTAAAAAAGGTAGTATAAGCCAGACAGTCAAAGCTATAAATTTCTAATGAAGAGTAAAGCAAAAAACTCTAGAGCCAAATGAACATTTGCTTCAAATGAATTTTTGGGCTCTCATTTGTTTTTTCACAGAGTATGTTCAATTCTATCAACTAGCACACATCTACGTCGCGCTGTTGGCCTTTTTGGGCAGTGGAACTTAAAGTAATGCCATAAAATTGAATGCTTAACAAGCTCTTTGGCTGCGAGGCACGTGCTGAGCCAGCTCTGGACTTTGGTGTTCACGCGATTTCTTACACGAATCAAATGTATTGGAGAGTAAAATAATATTGGCCAAGCTTTTAAAATACATTTTACATGCACTTCAATTTAATTGACGCGTGGCCTCGTCTTCCCATTGCTCGAGCGAAATTTGAGATAACGAACTTTTTGCAGAGTGAGCCATTCAATTAGTTTAACACCCCCAAGGTATTAAAACTGGGTTGCCATCGATGGGGGTTACGGAGTGCTGGCTCAACAATTGCTTCTCATCTTACATCAGAAAGGGGCCGGAGAGTTACTTGAAAAGCTACAGAAGCAAGTGAAGGAAACTCGATATGCAGATAAAAACGAAGCTTGGTCAAAAATCGCTGGCAGCGAAATGTGGGTGTGGCTGCATATGAAAGTGGATATGTAGAAACATTGTAATTACCTATTAGGGCCGGAAATGTTTGCGCAACTAGAAGCATATAATTATTGCCGCGCAAATAATGTGATATTCAACTCTATCACATGCATTTTTAGTTAATTTTAATAGGCATCAAGTGACAAGTTAATACAATTATGTGAATACTCATGTGGTATCATATGAAGAGCATGAATAAATGTCTTAGTTATGTCTTAGTTATAGAATGGCCAATCAAGTGTGTAATATAAAGTGAGATATATTTATATATATAAAATTGGTAGATATTAACGTTGACATTATTTTTTAATATCACTGATATTAACAGGAGCATTGTTATTGGCATTGGCATTCCTAATCATTTTTGATATTTACTTGTCACATCTATACATGTAATTTGCAATATTAAAATTATCAATAGAGCTTCATATAATTATTTTAAAATATTTCAGGCTATATACAAAATATGTTATTTTCACTTTTTCACAAAAATTATATAAATCAAATATATGTTTATTATACTACAAGCGAGCATGCAAGAATATTCTAAAAGCGCCTCAAGTAAAATATTCCACAATATAAATTCTGAAATAAAACATTAAATATGTATAGTAAGACCCCTGTGACCTATTTTAATTTATATTTTTTATAGGTATATAAAGCAAATTTATTTCTATATCTTTTATGTCGCTTGGAAATTGAGTTGTTGCCTGTCGTTGTTAGGCCAAAGAAATTTGCACAATTTACAATGCTTACCTAGCAAAGCATTCACAAATCCCCTACTGTTCCCGCTCGTTGTCCCGTTGCCTCTCCCTCCCGCTCTCTTCCTCACTGTTTCTAGCGGCCGATCTGTGAAAAGCCTGGCACATATTATGGGCGGCAAAAAAGAACATAAATACAAAATGCAGCCAGGCATAAGAAGCTACCACAGACCATTGACAACTACGTGAATACCTATGCCAACACCCCTCATCGCCACTGCTGCTCTCCGCTCTAGCACTCCGCCCTCCCCTTCGACACATGTACATAAGCCCCGCTTTGCCCTGAAGGCCCTTTAAAATAGCAAACTAGACCGGGCAATGGCTCCACACTGGCTACGTAATATGTCCTGGGGCTTAGTTGGCATGTGTTGCTGTTGTTCTTGTTGTCGCTGCTGGTGTTGTTGCTGTTGCAGCCTCGATGAGGCTATTGTCTGACTGAGGGCTTTACAACTCATAAACAGCAGCCCCTCAGCCGACTAGTAATAACAGTTTAAGCTCGAGGCACTGCCCGAAAATTGTCCACATCTCGTTGTTTAATTTTTTTCTTCGTATATATATGTATATACCCTAACAAAGGTTGACATTGCCAAGTTCTTTTAACTAAATAAATTTCACTCGTAAATAAATGAAAGAAATTAAATCAGGAATTGGTAAAATTGGTAAAAAAAAAAATATATATATAATATTTTACGAAAAATAAATCATTTTTGTTTGGTTTTCGGAAAATATTTGATATCTTTATATCTCTCAAGCATAAGAATATTATCTGGATTGAATAAGTAAACATCAAGATACATACATATCATATCTGTTTATATAAAAAGAAAACATGAGAACTCATAAGCTTTCTCCCTATGGGATTTATATTTCTGCCAATGCATATGGGTTGATTCTTCATTCTTATAGATGAAACCATGGCGAAAGTTCTTATACCAAAAACAACATTATCAGAGTTGAATCGGATTACTGTTTTATCATCTATCGATCTATAAATAGTTACAAATCTTTTTTTTTGAGATGAATGACATTCATTATCAAATTTACCGCAGTAAGGGTATTTACTCTTCTACAGTCCTCGCATCTTCTGGGTTTTTTTTATAACAAGCATTTTTACATGTGCTAAAAAAAAACCAACAAGTAAAGCTCCAGCGCCCGCACCATTCCAATTTCAAGAAAAAGAAACCCGCGGCATTCCCCAAATTTTTTGTCGGCCTGGCTGCATGTGCGTTTATGACTTCATAATGAAAGCTAGACAGGAGCAGGACGATGACTTTGGGGAGGCATTACCAGACCAGACCAACGCAGAGCCCCGAGCCCAGAGCTGCATTGCAGCGTCTGAGGGGGAATGCCTTGGCTTGGCTTGCTGTTGTTATGGATTTGCGTAGGCGTTGCGTTAACATGCGACTAAGTCCTTTTATATCCTGCAGCATTCGCTGTGGCCTTAGCTCTGGCTACATACATATCTTTAGCCTGAGACTATCATCAATTGCTGTCCCCATGGTGTAGTTAGGCTGGCCGGCAGCTCCCACACCCCGTCCGCATCCCTCCCTCCATTCATTTTTATATAGGCCAAGCAGCAGAA